GGGTTCGTTGTTTGAAGAAAGACCAAGGTGATGCAGGTCAGACTTTTACCACCCGGTGAAGCCCACGAGCACGAACATGATATTACAAATCGGGGTTCAAACCCACGATCATAGGTTCCCGGCAGGCCAAAGGGAGGTAACTACGCAAAACAAATAACGACGCCCTTGTCCATCATAAATCTCTTAACATTCTTTATACCATTTCTATTTTCGTAACTAAATATCGTCACAGCTACAAGCACTCACACGGTATAGAGTGACAGATCTAGAACAGACAGCAATGGCCTCCTGTACATCTGAACAGGTGTAATTTTAAACAATAAGTGAGAAGATTGAAACAAGATGGATAATCAAGGGCTAGAAGTAAGGATGGTGTCCTAATTATACTATTTTAAAAGCTAAATGGCCGGGCGACGCAGCTGGATAGGAAATAACTTAGCATTAGTGACAGACAAATAGCTTTGTTTTTTCAGTTGTGCCTTGCCCTGTAATCATAGCATCAATCGGAGCAACCCAGTGTGTCACATAATGAAAGACTCCGTTTAGAATGAAGGGACGATAGCATAGAATTGCCGAGGCTGAGATTGTTGTTTTATTAAATTTGCCAATGAAATACTGTAAAAATATAATACAGCGCCTGTAGACTTGGAACAAAGTGACAAATGGTCTGCTCCACCTTTAAAGGACAAATCGCCTAAGCACATTGAACACAAGTATATAAAATTCAAACGCACCATAAAAATGAATAAATGAATGAATAAATAAATGAAGGAAAGAAGGATGGATGGATAGATTGTCAGTGAGTTTAATGCCCTTTACTGGATAAATCTAGCTGTTGACTCCAAGAATGTTCTTCAAATATATATTCTTTTGAGGAATAGAACAAGCCAGCGCATTACCAACTTGGCTATTATGAGACTGACATCCACCATATAATAACTAGGTACTAAACTAAACGTTTGTGTTGGTTTGACAAACTTTGAAGAACATTCACCCTTCAAATGTCAATGAAATACTTGTCCTGGTGAGACAACGATGTTGTCTTCAAATTCTGCTAACAGATCAAGGGATTCGACCGATATATACATCAACGGAGAAAGTGAATGAAGCAGGCAGTCTTTCTAACCAAGAGTGAGTGAGTATGGTTTTACGCCGCTTTTAGCAATATTCCAGCAATATCACGGCGGGGGACACCAGAAATGGGCTTCACACATTGTACCCATGTGGGGAATCGAACCCGGGTCTTCGGCGTGACGAGCGAACGCTTTAACCACTAGGCTACCCCAGCGCCCCTTCTAACCAAGAGGGCGGTGGGGTAGCCTAGTGTTTAAGAACCACAGCCAGCTTTTATACTTACTGGAACGTGATGCAGAACGTGGACTTAACGCACATGATATAACTTCCAGGACTCGTACCAAGCAAGGGCATACCCATACCAGTCTGTTGAATGTGTAGATAATCACAGGGGATTCTCTGATGTTGACTGTAACACCTGTTAATTATTAAAAAACATGGACCAAAAAAGTGAGTGAGTGAGTTTTAGCAATATGTCATCATAACACCTATCGTTAATTATTAAAAACATGGACCAAAAGAGTGAGTGAGTGAGTGAGTGGGTTTTAGCAACATGTCATCATAACACCTATTGTTAATTATTAAAAAACATGGACCAAAAGAGTGAGTGAGTGAGTGAGTGAGTGAGTTTTTAGCAATATGTCATCAATATCACGGCGGGGGGACGCCATAAATTTATAGGCTTCACGCTTTGTATCCTAGTGGGGAATCGTATCCGGGTCGGACCATACGCAAAATACTAAATGGATGTCTTTCGGAGTGAGTAAATGCAGTGCTTGATGTTGTCATTGGTAGAATGCACAAAGCCGAAAACAAGATACAGAATATATTATTAAGTGAAATTAAGAGATGTCAGTTTAATTGTGTCCTGGCCAGCTGTCATTCAAAGTGTGTCCTTCGAAAAACGTTTATAGTTGTTCCACCTGACCGGCCTCTTATAACATAATCATTGTGCGTGAGCATCACTAAATGTGTTGTTTGAAAAGGAGCTTGGTACAGTAGATCACATAATGATGAATATATGTTGTAAGTGTTTGTATCGGTGGGTCAGGGTATGCTTATCTTTCATGCATCACCATTAAATAGTTATTCGTAAACACATGATAATGACATAGTACGATGGACTATGGAATCGAGCAATGGACTTAAGTGCCAATTTCTTAGGGTTTTCTTCGCTTTCATTTACCCTTGCACGTTCGATAATTTATATTACCGCACAGGACAATGAACTCGTCCGTATTCAAGGCTACTTTCAAGGTGAATCAGGACGTCATTCGTCTAACGTTTCTTTGGTTGATTTGCAAAATTTATTAACTGTTATTATTAACTGAAATTACTTTATGCATTCGGTTAACATTATTCACCGTTCTACGATTTGGGGAAAGATCCTATTTCGCCAAGTGTCTTTAACGTCATCTGTACCAGGAGACATTCCTTATGAAAAAACTCATTTATCGAAATTAGTTTGACAAAGGCTTTAACTAGCTTATTCAAAACATTATTTCGTGTGCAAGTTTCATTAACGTTATTGAATACCAGTTTAAAAAATCAGCGTGGAGGCAATGTTTCACACAAACAAATAAAACCTATAAAGAAGACGTATATTAAGAATATGTCATTACGCTCGGTTCAATATGACGACGGTTGAAGTGAAAGGGCTTTGTGGTTAATATTTTTACATAATTCAATCTTTTTGAAAGATATTGATGAAATATCGAACATTAACCTCCTTTCCTTCGGCAGTACGTTCAATTTATATTCCTATCCTCTGTACCCTTCGCTGAGATCGTATTTGACGTGAATTCACAATCCAACCTTCTGCCAAAGACAATAACGAGACCTTACTCCCTCGAGATCTCGCGAGAAAGATTGGTACGGCGTTACCAAGATTGCAAATGCCCATTGAGTGTTAAGTGCTATCCAAAGGCACTGTTTTCCCCAACTGTGACAAAGAACAGAGAAAGGGATGATTTTACGACAGAAAAAGATGTACTGCTCCGAAAAGCTTTTTTATCTTTCAAACCCTGCCCTTCAATCATATACGGAATGGTTCTTCACAACATAAATCTTATTACATTTGCATCTGTGGTTATAGTTGACTCAAAATATTATTTTTTCCTTGCTCTGCAGAAACGTAATCAACTTATTGTCTCTAGTTTTTCATGCATGGTATTTTATAATGAACTCCTTTATCAAGTTTAACATGAAATCCATTTTCCCCGTTCGGTGATACGAACTAATGGTCCTTTGTAAGTGGTCGGTTTTACACTAAATGTTTCACGTTTGGTGCGAATACTCGTGCATAATGGAGAACGCCTTCACTTTGAGTCGAGAGCTTTGTGGACATTTCAATTGGAATAAACAATTTGGTGCATTTTGCAGCAGCGGAAGTTGAATCAGTTCATTTTAGTCCATCGCGATTAATTTATTTATTTATTTCATGTAATTGGTATGTACTAAACCAAAACTTGAGGGATATATAGACTAACGCTCAGTCTCTGAATATACATGTATATCATTTTCATTGTTACAAATAAACCCATTAAAATTGATAAGGAGCCCCAGGGAGGCCAGAGATTCAGAACCTGGGGGAAATCTAGACTTGCTTCATTTAGGGCTTTAGCATTGCAGGGAGGGCTAGGCTGTAGGGAAAATAATATGGTTCAGGAACTGTGAGACTGACTAAGGGCACAACCAAAACACATCTTCTGATCCATGTGATATAAAAATGAACTAATCGGATCTTATCTGCTTGGAGTTGGCGATTAGATCTGATTGCTCTGAGGGTTGGTTTGAGGGAGTGGTGGTGAACTCGGTCGCTGAAGAAGTCTGGTGTCACTTTCGAAAGTTTCATTTTGCGACTAAATTTGTGTAAGATCACCTCCATTGGCCTACATGCACGAATTATTCGGGGCTTGATTCTGAGTCCACAGCTGTCATCTATACATGTTGTCTTCTTATTATCAGTGAGTACCGAGATCACTGGGAGTAGTACATGTTGACATTGACGTCCCAGACGTGTTCAATGGAGGAAAGATCAGCACCTAGTGTTGTCCATTGGACGACATAGATGGCTTGCTGTTGGAGGAATTGGGTCACCATCTTGCCACAGTGTTTACGTGCATTGCCGTTTTGAAAGATGTTGAAAAGGGCCTGTAAGTCTCGTGATGCGCACCTTCCGACACTAAACTGGCTCCCTTTGCGCCCGCCAACTTGCGAGATGCGAGACGGGGCCCAGCTGGCTTCCGGTACCAGATTTCCTGTGACAAGCGTATATTCAAGAACCAGTTCTGGTTCCGAATTGCGCAACGGACAAATATGACTTCACTGGTCCGGACCAAGTGTACAACCATGCTTGGCTGTCACAGCTTTTGACAGTTGCCATGTTGGCTAATTTGGGGATGGTAACATCAGAAATTTGTTATTCCTACAAGGATTATTGGTTCTTTACTGACAACCATGATACCATTCGGAAAGGTATGAAACTTCGTTTATCACCGGAAGTACTAAGGTCTCGCAAAGTGCCGTGACCTACTTACGAGCCCTATTGAAACTATTTGCGCGATTAAAACATAAATAAACATATTTTTTAATTAAAAATTGGGGTACATGTTTTTGATGACTTTATCTTTCACCCTGGAAATTATTGCAGTTTTCTAGTATTCTTTAATAAATTGTCTTTGAGTGTTTGGTTCTAGGAATACAATATGCGTCTGTTCCCAAACGAGAGTGACAATGGTCAACAATATACCACCTCCTGCACGTGCTATCACACACAATGTGTGCTGGAGTTTCATTCTTGCTGTTCCAATCACTTCCATTGCCAAACATTCGTCTTTGTTTCTGTAGCCCCATCTTTAAACAAAATAAAATTGCATAGTATAGATGAACTGTTTGATGTGTCCAGGTAAGTTGACCATATGGACATATATCTTTGACTTGTCATATTTGCCAAAACGTTGTTGATATTTGGATATATTGTGTTGATTTTAATTTTGTCTTTTCGAGGTAAGTTGTCCATAAGGACATACAGCTTCCTTTTTGTTCCATTTATACAAGCCAATTTAGATATGAGGTTGCCTTGCTTTTGTTTATTTGCCATGGTAACTTCTCTATATGGACACATATATTTCTTCTGTTCCATTTGCCATGGTAACTTGTCCATATGGACACATACATTTCTTCTGTTTCATTTGCCATGGTAACTTGTCCATATGGACACATATATTTCTTCTGTTTCATTTGTCATGGTAACTTGTCCATATGGACATATATATTTGTTCTGTTTCATTTGTCATGGTAACTTGTCCATATTGACACATATATTTGTTCTGTTTCATTTGTCATGGTAACTTGTCCATATTGACACATACATTTTTTCTGTTTCATTTGCCATGGTAACTTGTCCATATTGACACATACATTTCTTCTGTTTCATTTGTCATGGTAACTTGTCCATATGGACGTATACATTTCTTCTGTTCCATTTGCCATGGTAACTTGTCCATAAGGACGTATATATTTCTTCTGTTTCATTTGTCATGGTAACTTGTCTATATAGACACATACATTTCTTCTGTTTCATTTGCCATGGTAACTTGTCCATATGGACACGTACATTTCGTCTGTTTCATTTGCCATGGTAACTTGTCCATATTGACACATACATTTCTTCTGTTTCATTTGTCATGGTAACTTGTCCACATGGACATATATCTTCGTTATGTTTCATGGACCCTAAGTAACTAGAACTAGGTTTGAACATGTGCGTGTATCATGTTTTCGAGTAGTTCACACAGGTAAAGTGACCATTTATCTCCCTGGATCTGGGGATATGTGTCGACATGGCCCTACATCTCACGGGCTGGTCAATTAACACTCGATCGAAAGGGATAAGCGAAACATTTAATTGACACGTCCTAAATCGATTACTTGTCAATATCACACCCCTGACTGGCTTGACTGACGCACATTACTGATCTATTTCAGGCCGTATTAAGCAGTTAATTAGAGCTTATCTATAAGTAGTAATTAACCCTTATTCAACATTGGTGTCCGGATTAACGAGGTTACAGATAATTTGTGAGGACCTGTATCAACCTAGTTGTCAGTATCAGGTCAGAGCTAAGAACCTTTTGAAATAGGCTAGTTTTACAGATATGTGTTCAAATGCTGAAGTGGGTTAGTGCTGCTCAACTTATAACGAAACATTTTGTTGCAACGATTCTGTAAACGTTCAACACCTGGTGTCTTCACTGGTTTTCCGTGTTTTCCACCCATATATGTTTTTGACTGATGTTATACTGGGATGCTCTCAAAAGAAACGCAACCCCTTTTTTTGGTAATGTTTATATCAATTTTAACTGGTTATTACATTTGTATTTTTAAAGATAATGCCATGAAATTTGACATGGTGAACCTTAGGTCAGCACGGTATAAGGTAACAGTTAATGCAGGTCAGTATCGAACTCTCAATTTACGCTAGGGGGCGTTGTCTTCAGTATCTCGTTGTAGAGCCACGAGCTCTAATCACAGCAGTGCACCTCCTCGGAACAGAACGAATCAGACGGCGGATGTTTTCCTGGGGGATTGCTCTCCACTCTTCCTGGAGTGCTGCGGCCAGTTCAACCAACGTGTGCGGTTGTGGTGTACGTGCACGAACACGACGATCCAGCTGGTCCCACAGATGTTCGATAGGATTGATGTCTGGAGGGCCACGGCATCACGTTGACGTTTGAATTCTGTAGGAATGCCACTGTTGCACGAGCTGTATGAGGGCGGGCATTGTCATGTTGAAACAACTCCCTCTGTTGGTCGAATATCGGCAGAAAATGTGGCTGTGAGACGTCATCAATGTACCGTTGTGCCGTCAAATTGCCACGAATGATGACCAAGTCTGACCGTTGGTTGTAAGACATGGCTCCCCATACCATGATGCTTCCTCCTCCAAATCTGTCGACCTGTCGAACGCAGTTCGGTGCAAAACGTTCATTTGCTCGTCTATAGACACGTTGTCTACCGTCACGTCGTTGAAGAAGAAAAACGAGACTCTCGTCACTAAACCAGACTCTTCTCCAGTTTCTGAGGCTCCATCTCCTTACGTTAGTACACCACCTGAGACGTTGGCGCCGATGTTGGCGTTTCAAGACGGGCCCAACAACTGGTCTTCTTGCACGTAAATTTGCCTCATGTAAACGGTTCCTGATGGTTTGGTCCGATACTCTCCTCAAACCTGGCACCTGTGTTGCAGTGATGGTGGGTGTGGCATGCCGATTACGTAGGTGGCTGAGCCGAATAAAGCGATCCTGAGCCGGTGTGGTGATCCTAGGTCTACCGCTCCTGGGACGATCTTCAATTGCATGGAACTGTGTGTAACGATTCCAAAGTCGTGAGATTGTTGTTTTGTGTACGTTTAGATGACGGGCAACTGTTCCAAAAGCTTTCCCCGGCCTCAATGCGACCAATGGCAATATTTCGATTTGCTGTACTCAAACAGGGCATTTTCGAACTTGATTTGCAGAGCACATTACGAGAAAAATTACAAACTACGCGTGCTTTTAAAACCCTCTACATGAACTGTGTTTTCAACGATTTGCACGTGCAACAGGCTTTTAGCATTTTGTACATACAATTTCTGCACTTTCTCAAATAACACGGATACAAAGGTCATCATATGTGAAAATGGTTCCGTTTGGGAGCTTATACTGATCAGATGGGGAACGTATTAACAGTATTTTGAAGAAAATTCTAATTTACATTCACCATCTTTATTCTAGAAATGATGTCAGATATTTAGATAGGGGTTGCGTTTCTTTTTGAGAGAGTGTATACTGGGATGCTATCAGAACTCATTGGCCTACACATCCTACTTTTCCCTCCCTCAACCACCCCCTTCCCTACCCTCTTCTGTTTTAATTAAATGGTGCGAAACAATAAGGGATAACGTTGGTTTGTTGAGTATACGATGAGGTGATATGTCATCTGGTACCGAAATGGTTTCATATCCTAGCAAATGGCAACTCCGAAAACAATGCTTAGCGGTGTGGGTGAGTGGGTATATGGGGTGGGATGAGTGGGTCTATGGGGTGGGGTGAGTGGGTATATGTGACGGGGTGAGTAGGTATAAATGGTGGGGAAAGTGGGTATATGTGACGGGGTGAGTGAGTATATGGGTGGAGTGAGTGGTATATGTGACGGGATGAGTGAGTATATAGGAGGGGTGAGTGGTATATGTGGCGGGGTGAGTGAGTATATGGGTGGGTGAGTGGTATATGTGACGGGGTGAGTGAGTATATGGGTGGGTGAGTGAGTATATGGGTGCATGAGTGGTATGTGTGGCGGGGTGAGTGAGTATATGGGTAGGGTGAGTGGGTATATGTGGTGGGATGAGTGAGTATATGTGGCGGGGTGAGTGAGTATATGGGTTGGGTGAGTGGGTATGTGTGGCGGGGTGAGTGAGTATATGGGTGGAGTGGAGTGGTATATGTGGCGGGGTGAGTGAGTATATGGGTGGGTGTGAGTGGTATATGTGGTGAGTATGAGGGATGTGTGGCGGCGGGGGTGAGTGAGTGGGTATATGGGTAGGGTGAGTGGGTATATGTGGTGGGATGAGTGAGTATATGTGGCAGGGTGAGTGAGTATATGGGTTCGGGGTGAGTGGGTGAGTATATGTGGTGGGGTGAGTGAGTATATATGGGTGTGTGAGTGGGTATATGTGGCAGGGGTGAGTGAGTATATGGGTTGGGTGGAGTGGTATATGTGGCAGGGTGAGTGAGTATATATGGGGAGTGAGTGGGGAGGGTATATATAGTGGCATGAGTGGGTAGTATATGTGGTGGGGTGAGTGAGTATATGGGTAGGGTGAGTGGGTATATGTGGTGGGATGTATATGGGTGGGTGAGTATATGTGGCAGGGGTGAGTGAGTATATGGGTTGGGTGAGTGGGTATATGTGGCGGGGTGAGTGAGTATATGGGTGGGTGAGTGGTATATGTGGCAGGGGGTGAGTGGGTATATGGGTGGAGTGAGTGGTATATGTGGCGGGGTGGTGGGTATAGTTTATGGGTGGGTGAGTGAGTATATGGGTGGGTGAGTGAGTATATGGGTGGGGTGAGTGGGTATATGTGGTGGGGTGAGTGAGTATATGGGTGGTGGGTGAGTGGTATATGTGGCTGGGTGAGTGGATATATGGGTGGGTGAGTGGTATATGTGGCTGCGAGGGTGGGTAGTACATATATGGGTGGGGAAGGAGTAGGTATATTTGACAGGGTGAGTGAGTATATGGGTTGGTGAGTGGTATATGTGCCGCGGGAGTGAGTATATGATGGGTGAGTGGGTATATGTGGCGGGATGAGTGAGTATATGGGTGGGTTAGTGGTATATGTGGCGGGATCAGTGAGTATATGTGGCGGGGTGAGTGAGTATATGGGTGGGGTGAGTGGTATATGTGGCGGGATGAGTGGGTATATGTGGTGGGTGAGTGGGTATATGTGGCGGGGTGAGTGAGTATATGGGTTGGTAAGTGGGTATATGTGGCAGGGTGAGTAGTATATGGGTGGTTAGTGGGTATATGTGGCAGGGTGTGAGTGAGTATATGGGTGGGTGAGTGGATATATGTGGCAGGGTGAGTGAGTATATGGGTTGGGAGTGGGTATATGGGTGGATGAGTGGGTATATGTAGCTGGGTGAGTGAGTATATCGATGGGGTGAGTAGTATATGTGGCAGGGTGAGTGAGGATATGGGTGGGTGAGGTAGTATATGTGGCAGGGTGAGTGAGTATATTTGGTGGGGTGAGTGAGTATATATGGCTGGGGTGAGTGAGTTTATTTGTGGGGGTGAGTGAGTATATGGGTGGGGGTGAGTGGGTATATGTGGCAGGGTGAGTGAGTATATGGGTGGGGTGAGTGGGTATATGTGGCGGGGTGAGTGAGTATATAGGTAGGTGAGTGGTATATGTGGCGGGGTGAGTGAGTATATGGATGGGTGAGTGGGTATATGTGGCAGGGTGAGTGAGTATATGATGGATGAGTGGATATATGTGGCGGGGTGAGTGAGTATATGATGGGTGAGTGGTATATGTGGCTGGGTGAGTGAGTATATTTGGCGGGGTGAGTGAGTATATGGATGGGTGAGTGGTATATGTGCCGCGGGAGTGAGTATATTTGGCGGGGTGAGTGATTATATGGATGGGTGAGTGGGTATATGTGGCGGGGTGTGTGGGTATATGTGGTGGG